GCACCTGTCCCATCATTTCACAAGCCCCTGAAAACCAGAAGCATACAATTCTTTGGGCTGCTGTTATAACCAGGCAGTGACTTCTCTTTCTACAGCTTGGTCATCAGGAAAATGTTCAGCCGAATGATGATGTTTAAGAGGGCCGAACAAATGGAAGTTGCCTGGAGCAAGATTCATCACCTGTGGCAATTCGGGCTAGCATATCATGTCCTTCATCGTGGTAACGACTGAGATGCTGTAATGCCAGACCCATTCTTTGCATTTTGTGTTGTGGGGTCAGCATGTGCGGCACCCATCGTGCACAGACTTTGTGAAAACCTAACTTGTCATAAGACTTGCATTTGTTCAGCCATCTTAAACACCATCTTTCAGCTATATGGAATCATGGACATTTAAAGGATAGCTACAATTTACTTCCTTATGGAGCACCATTTAGAAATAGCATAAAATTGTTTCACAGTCTCACGTGAAGCACGTCCTTCTATAAAACTTTCTGAAAGTTACTGATTACATATTTCAAACTATACGATCATCATCAGGTGTTTTAAAATTAGAAATTATAAACAAAGAAACTGCTGTGCTTCCATATTGTGGTTGTTGGTCATTACTTTGTGGTCCCTTCTATGCGCATGTATATAGGAAGTGGTGGGTTGCTCTGCCAGCTCTGTTACACAGCATAACACAACAGGCACAACAGCCCGCCATTTCCTATATACATGCGCATAGAAGGGACCGCACAGTAACTACAAATATTCACAATATGGAAGCACAGCAGTTTCCTCATTTATAATTTATAACTTTAAAACACCTAATGATGACCCTATAGTTCGAAACATGTAGTGAATAACTTTTAGTAAGTTATATAGAAGGACGTGCTGCATGTGAGACTGTGAAACCATCTGATACTAAATGACGTGCAGCAGGGTGCTACAATATAGTACTAGTTACAAATAACAGCTCATGACCAGGTCTGGACCGATACTCACTCCTTCCTGTTCATTCTTCTTCATCCGTTTCACTACTTTATTTCTGCCAGGTCCCTTTCTATGAAATTTATGAGACAGGTATCTGAAATTAGAAAGAGGGACAACATTAAAGTCACTGTATTTTAGGATCTTACAGAATGTAATTACAGAATTACATGTTTCCATGTAAAACGTAACACCCTTTCATCCTGAAGTTCCAGCCAGAAAATAGGGGTAACATCCATATTTAGTGCAATCTGTTATGTTGTGAAATTATAAAAATATGTAACATTCTGTTTTCCAACACAACTTACTCATACAGCCAACAACCAGAAATCGGCATGGTACAGCCCCTTAAAGTCACAGGGATTGAAATAATTAACGACAAACATTTTAATAAAAGTACAATGGGACAGTAATAATTTTGAAGCACGTTTCTTCTTAATTCATGCAACCTATCTGCAAAATGAACCATTCTGCCACATTCTATGCCTGCACAACAAATTGTATCAAGTACAAAGTATTTACACACTCAAATGTCACAATACATTGGCTACTTAGAAATTATCACATACAAAATTGGAGAAAAGGAAGTCAAAACAACACGTATATATAAAATGTTCTACTGAAAGCATCTGAGGTGGAGACAATAATCTCAACCCCCATGATAGGGTAATCATGATAGTGCTGGTAAGCAGAGGGACCCTACATTTTAACATGGGAGGGGGGTATCCTTTGTATTCCCAAAGCTTTAACGCTGGTAGATGTGAAGGCATCATTTGTAAGCAAAGAAATCTGTACATAGATGTGACCAAGGATAAAACTCAGAACTTTCTGAATGGGTATAACAGCTTACCCCAGGACCTACTCTAAGTGGCTCTGGTGTTGCTCCCAGCTCAGTCGCCATGTTAATATGGCTGATGGTAGACAACTGAAAGAACATGGGAAATGGCACGATGACAATGCAGAGGTTCACATAAATCCATCAGTTGGTTCACACATTATGGGGAGGATGGCACACATGAATGATATAGAAACACAGTGGACCCATAATCCTGTCTGTTTCCACTGAAAAGCTGCTTCCTCCTTGGATTTTTTTTTCTTAAAGTGGCAATTACTGTGGGAACTTTTTTTCTCTAAAGAATGTACTACCATTAGACAGGCTACCTTCCACAGTGTGACCTATCTTAAAAACAGATATGCTGTTAGCTGTGCTAACCTGAAAGCCTCCTTTGCATTAAGCACATGTCCATCATCATCTGTGCAGTCAAGTTTTAACATCTGGTCTGTAGCCCTCCCCCTCTTTGAAGTCTGAGGTCGTACCACTGTAGCCCTCATGACGCACGAACTTTTCATTATCTCTGAAAAAGATAAAGCAATGCTATATTATTAAATTCCTTAATTAGTCTAGGCCTCAACAGTAGACGAGCTTGCTCACTTCATCCTGTCTTGACCATTGTGTACACCTCCCTAATACCCAAATGGCTCAATCCTGAGAGATGAGACGAGACTTAGTTATAGAGCAGAGGACAAACTGTTCATAACTCAGATATTCTTTACCCTTCAAAATCTCCTATTCTATTCCATAATCGAAGAAAGTGGTTGATCCTTGTGCCCATGACAACTCTCTTCCCTAAGGTCTGCTGCGGAGAAGATCTGACAGCTACTGGATGACTTAATAGGGATCAAGTGGACACGATAAATCTGCATATGCTGCTATGCTGTACTTCCTCCAGCTTCTGTGCAATAAGAAGCTAACAGAAGGTACACACTAGAGCACTGAGAACATCTGTCCCTACAGCTCAGATCTTACAGAAGGAAGAGCTGAGTTACCCATTAATAGGCAGCTCTCTAGATGCCAGACGATGACTTGTCTGCTCATGAGTGCAGTGCAGTGACAAGGCCCCCTCATGACCATTCTCTCTATAACCTCTATTCTGAATCTGTGATTCTCACTTTGTCTCATCAGACAATGCAACAAATAATCTCAAGACAATGGTAACACTGGCAGGGATGTAGCTCCATGAAAATGACAGTTCCTTGTAGGCAAAATCACTCCGACTTCACTGCCTTGACATTTCAAGACAATATAAACCTCTATCTAAATTGTCTGTTTTGAGAAGAAGAAATTATTTATCTTTTTCTTCCACCTACATCCAGGCATCAGATCTCAACTAAACTTCATACGACCTGTCCTACATACCAGGCAGTGGTTCAAAATATGACCAACAGAAATAACAGTAGGACAAGCAACACACTTGGCCCACCCTCAAGTTAAGTGAGACAGAGCAAAAAGATAAACCAACTACAATACAATTTTCCCATGAAAATGTGAAGCAAATAAGCTTAGATTGACTCAGGATGCAACAGTGACAGGGCAAACACAGAAAAAATGACCAGTAAATCCTATCCGGAATTCTCATTTTTGTATGTGTGTCTGCATGCAAGCCACTGCTGTAGCATTCACTCTTTCTTTCCCGCAAGCTCATACATGTGTGTCTTATCCAAAGTGGAGTAGTTCTGAGCTTGGAGATGAGCAAAATGTGAAGCTTGTGCTCCAGATAATCCTGACTGCCAGATGGAGAGCCCCTGCAACTCCTACACCTACATCAGGTTCTATGTTCAAGATCGGCATGTCAGCGGTCAGCATTTCGACTGGCGTCTCATCTTTTTAAATCAGGAAACGAATAACACAAATGAGCAAGAAATGTTACATGTACACTACTCATGCAACTCTGAAACGTACACAGATAATTACTGCATTAATATAAAACAATCAAATCGCTATTTGAGTTTTCTTTGTGCAAATGAAGAGAAAGCTTACATATATGAAGACAATTTAACAGGTTATTCTTGTGGTAAAATTGAATCCAAGCAAAATGCGGACTGCACATCACATTCCTCCTCAATCTCTGTAAAATCTGAGACATTAAAATAAGGGAAGAACTTATGAAACTATTCCTGCTGGATTTCTTGCAGTCAGTCAGACTTGCAAGCCACAGTTTTATAAAATTTTAATTGTGTATCCTTTGGAATGTTTTTATTTATAGCACTATTCTGATAATGCACGTGGAGCTGAACCTCATGATTTTATTACTAACCTTAATTGCTTTACAGTATGATGCTCTGGACCCAAATAATTATATGAAATTCCTCCGTTTATAATGATTCTTAATCTAATGATACTATATTTCTTTACAGCCAATGGTTTTTAATTTTTTCAAGTTAAACCATAAAATTATAATCTCACATTCTGTTTTACAAAATCCACATTTCTTTGCATCACATTTTCATTAAGGGCTAACACCCAACAAAAGAAAAACCATTAAAACATAACAGTTGGCTTTCCCACTGTCTGATTACCATCAATATAGATATTAAAAACTCTGACTTGTCAAAGTTATATAAAATTAAGGTAAATTCAACTGAATTTTTGTTGTGTGTTGGTTCTGGCTGAATACAAGTGTAAAGATTGTGAATACATGCTTTCAGCTGTTCCTCTCATGTGCAATGGAGAGCAGAATTTTTTATTGAGACCTGCCACAGTACGTCTATTTGTATTTCAAGAAATGCCTAGACATAGTATAAAAATCAACACACGATGAACCTTTATTCAATTCCCCATTGCTTTATTTATAGCAAAAACATGACAAGACTCCCCTTCATGAATCCTGATTGCTCTCTTAATACTATGCATGCAAACAGAAGTGGAAGAGTAGTTCATAACACAATGGAAATTCAATGGAAAATTAAAAGCACTGAAATTATTTTTCCACAGAAGAGGAATGTGACCTACATGTGGGTGTCTACAGTCCGCAGGAAGACAACCCTAATTCTCCCCTCTACTGCATACAGGCATTCATAATTCAGGGACATTCCAACTGCTAGGTACATTATTAGTTAATGATGCTATTTATGCACAAGAGGTTTAATAAAGACAGCCACTTAATGCCCACCCCTTCAACGTACTGATGCTGTATCAACTATACATGCTACCACCTGTCAACTGACAACATGAATCACATTNATACCAAAACACTATACTGTAATAATACAGTGCGTACAATCAAGTGCGCGCCGCGGCTGCAATTTGCCGTGAGTCATACCACCGCAGAACGG